GCCGTGCGGAGCCTCTTGCCTTACTTGGTTCATCTTTCCTGGCATGTTATTTGTTGTCTATTTACTTCCCACAGTCCTAGGAAAGTGAAGAGTCATCCCTTTTTCTGTAGATGAGGAGACAGAAGTTCAAAGAGCGTGAGTGATTTGCCCAAAGCCACCCAGTGAGAAGGAGTGGAGTCAGTGTGAACCGGGGTTCTAAACAGAGCTGAGAATATCCCACATCTGTCACCTCCAGGCCCGACTCACCTCTGGTAGACAGGAGCTAGGGAATGCCCCCGCTGGCTCTAGGCTCGGACAGGCCCGGGTAGGTCTGAGTGCCCCTGTTTACAGGCTGGCTGGTCCGGCATAGTTCCTTAACTCTTTTTTTTTCTTTTTTTGAGAGACAGGGTCTGTCTCTCACTCAGTCAGGAGTGCAATGACATGATCGTAACTCACTACAGCCTTCCCAGTAGGTGGGACCGCAAACACATGCCAACACACCTCACTTTTTTTAACTTTTTGCAGAGACAGAGTCTCACTATGGTTTGCAGGCTGGTCTTGAGCTCCAGGCCTCAAGCTATCTTCCTGCCTCGGCCTCCCAAAGGGTTGGAATTCTAAGCAGGAACTACCATGCCCAGCCTTCTTGATTTCGGGAGTCGGTTTCCTCATTCGTAGGACAGACAGGATCAATGCCTATGGTCTAGAGACGTGGGGAGACACAGTGAGACAACATAAGCAAACTGCATGGAGAGTATGGCCCGCAGTCAGGGCTGAGGTGTCATTACTGCCTCCGAGGGACCCCTTGGCAGAGCTTGAAGAGAAACAGGAGGGGGACTCCAGCCCCAGTCAGACCTGCTCTCCTGAACCATCGCCAGCCTCTGCACCTTCTCAGCCACTGCCTTCTCCTTACTCCAAGCAGGATCAGCCAAGACATATGTTCCTGACTAATTTCTAAAAAGGTTAATCTACAAAAAGCCTCCTAGCCATATGAGCCTGGAGGACACCATGCTGCGTGGAAGAAGCCCGTCACAAAAGGACTGTGTGATTCCACTTGGACGAGATCCCCGGAGGAGTCAAATCCATAGAGATAGTAAATGTTGTGCTGGGAGTGGGGAGTTAGCGTTTAGTGGGTGTAGAGTTTCATTACAGTCTGGGGAGATGGATGGTGGTGATTGTAGCTTGACGGCCTGAATGGACTTGCTGCCAAATGCTGAAAGAAGAGGGTCAATTTTATATCCTACAGGTTCAAAAAAATCCAAAAAAAAATTCTGGAAAAAAAAAAAATTAAGCCTCTTAGCCCTGGACTTTCCGCTCAGGTTTCTTCCGAGGCTGCGGGAACGCGTGTGGATTTGGCTTGATTCCTGCAGTGTTGCCTCTTAATTGGGGCTCAAGTTAGCATTTCTGGCATAAGGTCACCCTTGCAAAATGCCCGTGTGGCCCCCAGAGCTGCTGAACACAGGCCCAGCGCAGCCAGGTCCTTGCAGCCGTGGCGCAGACCTTGTTTCTTGGAGGGTGAGATGATCTGGTTGCTTTGTAATCAGGGGTCCCGATGCAATGTGTGTTCCGAATGTCTGAATGTTGTGTCACCACATCTGGCTTTTTTTTTTGGATACGAAGTCTGGCTATGTTTCCCAGGCTGGTCTTGAAGTCCTGGCTTCAAGCGATTCTCCTGCCTTGGCCCCTCAAGGTGCTGGAATTACAGTCACGAGCCAGCAGGCCCAATGAAACTATGGTTTTAGTTCTCTTTTTTACCCTTATGCAGAATCGAGTGTGTCTGAGCTGAATGAGCGTGTGAGGTGATTCTACCCAGGCAGCCTTTGTCCAGTCAAAGGAAGCAGGACTTGTGGCACTTTGTCATGCCTCTTTCCGGCTCTGAAGGGTCTTTCTGTGTTTTAATTTTAGATTCAAAGGGTACATGGGCAGGTCTGTTACATGATATATTTTTTTTGAGCGATGCTGAGATTTGGACTTTTGTTGAATCTGTCACCCAGGTAGTGAAACATGGTTAGGTACCCAATAGGTTGTTTTTCAACCCTTGCCCTCCCTCTTCCTCCCCTGTGTGGGGGTCCCCAGTATCCGTTGTTCCCATCTGATGGGTCTTAAAGCCTAAATTGTTCTCTGACTCTTGACTGGCTCAATGGGCCATAGAAAAAAATTGCCTTTCCCCCTCCCTCACTGAGATGTACCCACACAGGCTCATTTCACAGATACTCTCAGGCAGCTAGTCAAACCTGAAATTCTCCAACTTTCAAGATCTTTTCAGCCAGGCATGGTGGCTCCCACCTGTAATCCCAGTACTTTGGGAGGTGGAGGCAAGAGGATTGCCTGAGGCCAGGGGATTGAGACCAGCCTGGGCAACTTGGTGAGACGTTGTCTCTAAATAAACCAAAAGACTAGCTGGTCATGGTGGCACACTCCAGTAGTTCCAGCTACTTGGAAAGTCAAGGCAGAAGGGTTGTCTGAACACAGCAGGTCAAGACTGTGGTGGCTGTGAGCATGCCACTACACTCCAGCTTGGGCGACAGAGACTCCTACTCAAAAAAATAGAAAAGTTTGCTTTCAGAGCAAAGATCCAATTCCTGGAACCAAAACTCAAATATAAACCACAGGGGTTTCCAGTTCTTCAAAGAAATCTATTATCAAATTCCAGAACACTCCAGAGAAATGGCACATGCACAACTCCGAGGACTGGGTTGAACACGCAGTAGACGTGAGCAGGCACAGTCTTTCAGGCAGGGGTGATCCCCGTCCTCCAGAAGGGTTCAGGCAGCACCAAGCAAATTGCCAGGCGCCCCGTGGCAGCCTGACTTCACTAATCCGCCACCATTCTAGGTCCACTGCATTGCCGACTGGTAGTCAAGCTGAGTCGAGATCCCCTCGGAGTGAAAAGCCAGCTAATGAATTGAGGCAATGAACTTGAACGCCAATGTTGCCTTGAAATACCTTGCTGGCCCTTAAGCAAGACTTTCTGTCTCAGATTTTCCTCATCTATGAGATCAGGTGAAAAGAGATCTGCAGAAGAGCATAACGATACACCAGAGAGAAAAAGAGCATTGAAGGGCTCTTCTAACTGGTTTTTCGACCTCACACCGTGCTCTGTTCCAAGCCTAACGGGAGGAGTGATTTGCCCTCACCTGCAGAAACCACAGGGAGGCTCCTTCTGGAATCCCACGGTCCGTTTCTCTAAATCAGTTTGGTTCCAAGCACCAGGTAAACAACATAACTGAGTATGTTGCAAAAATACTACAACAATAACCAAGTGTCGGCAGAGGAATGATGAGAGGAATCGGGTCTCGAGGCAAGGAGGAGGGCTGGCGGCCTGTCTCAGGGATCAAGTATTGCTGGCAAAAAACGGTCCAAGCCTGGAGATCCCGTTTTCCAGCCCCTTTCAGCCACATCGCATCTGTGAAACCGAGAGCCGCACTTGAAGCCCTCTGAGCCCCAGCGACTTGGCCTATAAAGTACTGACCCAGACTGCCCCCTTGGTACCTCCGGGGTAGCTGTGAGGGCCCGGCAAGGTCAAACAGGTAGATGGATTTGGGAAACTGAACGCGAGCCAGGTGAGGAGTTACCATCACCCTCGGCTGGCTCCATCCGCCGCACCCGGCTCTTCCTCCAGAGGCAGAAGAACTCAGCCATCTGTCACTGGGGTCCTGGAGTCTGACTGTCTGGGTTTCTCACCCGGCTCAGCCATCAGTGAGCTCTGTAAGCTGACATGGCCCCTTATGTGTGCCCTCCTCTGTGAGCTGGAGGTGATGACGGTGATGTCACTTCACAGATTGTAGTGCCACTTAACTGTTGCATGTTAATAGACCCAAAGAGCTTAGAACTGTGTTTCACAGTAAAACATCCGGTGCGTATTAGCCTGTTTTTGTTTGGCTCTTTTGAAACTTTATTAAGAAGTACTTCAGGCAGGCTGAGTGCGATGGTGCACACCTGTAATCCCGGCACTTTGGGAGGCTGAGGCAGGAGGATCCCTGGAGGCCAGGAGTTTGAGACCAGCCTGGGCAGCATAGTGAGACTCCCATCTCAGAAGGAAAGGAAGGAAGGAAGGGAGGGAGGGAAGGAAGGAAAGAAAGAAAAAGAAAGAAAGAAAAAGGAAGGAAGGAAGGAAAGAAAGAAAGAAAGAAAGAAAGAAAGAAAGAAAGAAAGAAAGAAAGAAAGAAAGAAAGAAAGAAAGAAAAAGAAAGAAAGAAAGAAAAGAAAGAGAAAAGGAAAAAGAGAGGAAGCTGCAATGAGTTATGATTGTGGCACACTCTAGCCTGGGCAACAGAGTGAGACCCTTTCTGTCTCAAAATATGTATACAGGGGGTGCCAAAAAGTGTATGCACATTTTAAGTATGACATTCGCTCAAAAGATAGCATTAATCAAAGGAACACTAGTGTCACCACGAGACAGGCAGGACAGTCAAAGAAAATGTCAGCAGCATGGTTGAGTGAACATCATACTACCCATTGCTACCATAATTTAATTCAACTCCAAAAAGTAATACATAGATGATATCTCTTAAAATGCACCCCCGTATATATTTGGCGCCGTGTATATCTATTCCAGGCGTTGTAAAAGGTTTAGAGAACACTACAACAGCGTGGTGCCCCTCAGTCCGGGGCGTACAACGCCGCCATCGCCGTCGAGACCCCCGCACACCTCCCCCACCACAGTCCCTCCTCCCCACTTAGAGGCAGCCATGTTCCTGCGTGTGCTCCTTGTCGTCCCGGGCCTTTCTTGGTGCCCTCACTCCATCTGGATGTGTCTCCAAACAACGAGAAGGAGCTGGAAGCGTCCTTCAGCCAGGTCCAACGTCACCTCTATCGCAAGGATGCAGACCGGTCCCTGGCCGAGGACTGAGAGAGCGCCCCGCGTTTGCCACCTCCCTGGCCGCTCTTTCCACCTCCCTGAGTGGGGCAGGGCTGATGGTTCCGGATGGACCGACTGGCGATCCCAGGTGTCAGTCAGGGCTCCTGCCGTGGGGTCTGCGCGTGTCAGAGGGTCTGGCG